CTACTATTATTTGGTACTAAATGAACATTTTTTTTGCATTTATAATGAGTTTATATTTGTAGGTCTACATATATCTATATATTTACGTATATTATATTATAAAACTACATTCCAATATAACAAAGTCTTGCCCTCAGCATTTTTATTCATTATATAAAATTAATTTCGTTTGCCATATATTAGTATAGTGTGCCATCTTTATTTATTATGTTAATGTACAAATTCGTTTTTATTAACAAGGTATATGTTTTGTTATGTACGATCCAGTGAGAACGGGGATGTTTAAAGTACAAGATGTCATAATAAGGAGTTAAATGCTACTAGAGAATGATAGTATTGTGGTTTCAGTTGGCACGTCAGGTAATAGAGTACACTTATTAACAACGTGCCAACTTAATACCGACATATTTTCGCATATTTCCCCTATATGGATATGCAGAACATAATGTTTACTATGAATTATTTTACTCTTAGCCACTTTCTAAAAAAATCTGTCTTTCCGTCTCCAACTTTAGATAGATGACTATGCGACCTCTTTAGATTCCGTTCCGACAGATCGAAAAGGAGACTAGATTTTTATGGCAAATTAAACTGAGCTTTATGTAATTGAAACGAGGTCTAATTTTATTTTTTACGTCTGTATCCTTTTTCTTGATTAAAAAAACGTACAAAGTAAAAAGAAACCTTATTGCAATCGTGTAAAGCTCAATTTCATTTACAACAAAAAATCTGCTAACCGCTTAAGTCGAAATAGAGTCTTCTTTTCCTTAATTTTATTCGATTATTACAAAAAACTAAATATATTTGTTAACTCTAGTAGCTATTTTCAGATAACTCCATAATACTATTTATTTAAAAATACACTCTTTTAAGTCCCTGTTAAATAAAATTAATAGAAATGTCTATATATCAAATTTTGTGTATAACTGCCCTACTCAGAGTAGTTTAATACCTTAAACAATCCTTCAGTGTAGATTTCTCATAATAAAATTACACTAAGTAAGGACCTTTAACAACTTCGAGTGCTTTAGTTATTGTTATAAATTAAGCTCTCATTGTTATTATTAAATAAGTAAATGAATATTGATATGTAATATTTATCGTTTTTAGTTAAAAAAAATTACATTTCAAATGAAATAAATAGTACTTAATAGATTAGCTTCAAAGCTTTGTTCAAAACATATAATACATATACTCTGTGTACTTAATAAAGGTAAATGATTACAAAATAAATAACAAAAATACGATAAAATAGGCCCATGACTAATATCTTAGTTAAATATTTGTATTTTTTATTAAGTTATCATTGCTGAAACTTTTTTGTATATAAGTTTGTTCTGTGAAAACACATGATGTAGTTAGTTTTAATTCTTTTTATCATCTCTATAAATCTTATTATTAAAATCTCCATAATTTAATATCAGTATTTAAATAAACTAATTACAAAAAACGGCTACACTACGTATTAATTTTACTATCGGGACAGACTAGTTTCGTGCCCATCGGGGGCCCTTTTTCGGGTAAGACTGGTATTATTCCCACACACGCTAAAGAAGGGCCCTTGTTGAGATAATACACACTAAAGATACGCCCTTGTTGAGATTATTCACACTGAAGAAGGGCCCTTGAAAAGCCCTTGTTGGGCTCGATACCAGTTGGTGCCTACAACGGATTATTAAATTAATGTATTTGTTTTATATTTAATTTTTAATATTTTCTCACGAAATTTTAAATAATCAGTATTCATTTTCTTGTATATTACATAATAAAATGTTGACATATTACTTATGTTATAAGAAATTTCGTATTAATGATGCATAATATGTTTCCTATATATCTAGTTATTCCTGTGATTAATGCAGCTATAAATAGCTCATTATATAAACGGTGTTATATACTTATTATGTTTTAAATATATACAATTGTTACCATTTGTGCGGTGCTTTTGAAGCAACAATATCAAAATTAAATTAACGTATTGACATCAACATCAGCTCACTATACGTCCCCACTGAGGGGCTCGGAGTCTACCCTAAGTTAAAGGTGATTAGGTCATAGTTAACCACGCTGACCAAGTGCGGGTTGGTTGACTTCACACATATCTTTGAATTTCTTCTCAGATATGTGCAGCAACACGATGTTTTCCTTCACCGTAAGAAAGTCGGATAAATGTACATATGTAAATCGGAAATTGAAAAACACCTTGGTATATGGCGGGATTCAAACCTAGGAACCTGCAGATTGCAAGTCAAGTGCTTGACCACTGAGCCACCGATGCTTACGACGCGACGTATTGACATAAAAGTACTTAATTTTTATATACATAAATCGTTCCTTTAGAATCAAATATGTTTAAATGTAGAACTCCATTGCTGTAACGGTTACAATGAGTATTGCTGTCTCTTTCTTGTCAAAGAGAATGAAAGAGATGGCTATATGTATGCGATTATAAAAGCAATTTTGCAGTAATAGTGATAAATTGTTATTTGTTCGTCCAATCATATTTTTAGTTTTTAAGTTTAATTTTATTTTCAATATAAATGAATTAAATATATCTAAATGTCAATAACTTTTATTAAAATGTTAAAAGAAAATATAGCAAAATATATAAATTTGGTACTAAATATAATTAAAGTAGGTGCTCAAGCTATTTCTTGTTGAAAATATTAATAAAAAAATCTATAATACCTATGTATGTTATTGTAATTTGAAATATAGAAAAATATATAAATTATATCTATCGAATGTTAAAACTTATATAATATATCAAAAACATATATCTTAGCCATTTTCGCATATTTTTATCGTTTGTTTCTGAGACCAAAATCTCTGTATAAAACATAACGTCATCCCTCTCATTATCGTTGACAAAACAGAGATAGCAATATGTTTTAAACGAGAATTTTAGTCTCAGAAACCCACGGTTAGTGATATAGTTAAAAAAAAAGTTTGAATTAAAGCTTCTTTGAGATGTATTTATGCATAATTTGTAATCAACACGATTTGGCTCTAAGCATTAAACTATTTAAATATATCATTTGATTTGGCACGTCGGTTATAAAAGTAATCTTGTATTCGATGTGCCAACTTAAGTTATTTAGCTAAAATTATATATTTATATTAATTACATTCCATTTTTATGCATTTATAATTATTAATAGATAACAACACAGATTATTTTAGAATAAAAACACAATATTTTAGCTAAAAATCAATTAAATTTGATCAATTTTTGTGTTTTAAATAATTTATGTTTTTAAAATTTTTTTTTTTAAATATTTTTAAATGTTTACCGAAATAAAAGTCAAAGCTAGTTCGTGATAAAAAAAATATTGTGTTTACTAAGCAAGATCTATTATTCAATTTTTTTTTTGAAACGAAGAAAATTTCTCTGTCATTCGTGTTATTTAAAAAAAAACAGATACTTGCAAATATTTATTTTCTATCCTTTGGATGTATCCGAATGATAATATTGTAATTTATATTATTAACTGTTGGTTTCCGAGACCAAAATCTCTGTATAAAACATATCGTCATCCTTGTTGTAGTGTATGCATAAACGTAGTGTTGTTTGTCTCGAGCGTACACGCCATAAGTACATGCCGGAGAGAGGGGACGTCAGTCGATGTCAGACCTTTGAGCCGGCAACACGTGTCGGTACGTGAACGAGCCAAATATAGCACAACGAATGCTACACTTGTCTTTGACAAAATAGTGATATGTTTTAAACGGGGACATTGGCTTCAAAAACCCACGGTTAATTATGTTAAATCTAGTTATTTGTATACTTTTTAAAAATTATAATAAAAACAATATATAATATTACAAAAGCAATAATTTGCATATCCTATAAGACATTCTATGTTTGTTTTTTTTTCTTATAAAGAAATTACATTTAGTAAGAAATCAAATTTACATATATTTAAATGATATTTAATTATTTAGCTTAATAGATTATATGTTAGATATTTAATATTCTACTCTTTCTATATGTTTATAATTTTTTATACTTATGAATTTTCAAACAGAAATCATCGAAGTTTTGAAAAAAAAAAACAGCTTAATTATTTAGTATGAATTTTTGCGAAATAGTATTAAGAGGTATTAATTAAAAATGTTTAATGATGTATCCCTTCCATTTACTTTATGAGGGTAGGCAAATATTTTTCAATCGTTAAGTAAACTTCGTTTGAAAAATGTGGGTATTTATTAATAATCAAACCTTCATGCCACCGTGTCTTTTTATGTTTTTTTTTGTTGAAATTATATGTTTGTAATGAAATTAATAAATATAGCAGTTGACCTTATTTCACGTTTTATTTCACCAAATGAGTCTTAAGTAATTTATGGCGGTTATAAGTGCGCGTCCATTGGCGGGCGCCGGACGCAACTCTCGCACGGATTAAACGGATTTGCTTTGTCTAACTAAAATCCGTTGCGTGCCGTGCGTGCGGTCCGTCCGGAGAAGGCCAATGGACGTATACCTTTAAATTATCGAAACATCTCCATGTTGCAAACCGTAAATCGACGTTCACTTATATTCTGTTTTTCCAAAGTATTTTAACAATATTGTATATATTCTATATGATCGCTAAAACTTATAAGTTCCAAAAATACTTCCTGCAAAACACTTTCTCTCAAATGACTTCGCGGCACAAGGAATGTGTCCAGAACGAAGACGTAAAAACAACCAATGAGGTGGCTAAACGACATTGTCAAACCAAAAATAATTTTACAATATGTAACGGTCCTGTGTTGACTTAATTTGTTTTTAAATAACAAAAATGGTTTGATTTACAAATCTAGTAAAAACCATAGAGAGCAAAGAATCAGACATAATAATGAGACACAAATTAAAGCCATGTTTCTTGTGCTTGTATTTAATTTAGGATGCATCTGTAAAATACGAATAAACAAGTAAAAGAGGTGTTCACCCGCTACGTTATGTGTAATTAGGTTGTCAAACAACCTTCAACCAAAACCCAGTACATCGCGTAAAGTCAAAGCGAATGGACGTTACGAATTCGCGCAATTCTTACAACGTGTGAAGTTGTTATATATCAAATTAAGTACTTATTTCTTGAAATACAAAACAAATATTGTGATGGAAAATTTATGATTTTATTAAACATTAAAAGGTTAGTAAACGTTATGGTTTAATTTTCATTACAAATGTGTTGCTTTTTAATTGATTTCTATTTAAATTCCTTAGAAAGTTAAAAAACCTAAAGATTCACTTACTAATTAAAATAATTTCTTGTGCTATATTTGAATTGAACTTGTGACTCGAAAATTACAAACTAACTACGGTATTCTGAGACCAAAATCTCTTTATAAAACATGATAACATTATGACAAAACAGAAATAATATGTTTGAAACGTGGTTTTAAAGTCGGCAAGCCTTTCGGTTCATTTAAGTTATGGAGAAAGTGATGTTTGTTACATCCGATAATGCCCGCATTTTTGCGACTCTAATACATACATGACCTTGTCAGTCAAACAGGACTGGTATTTGATAAAATACCAGTTATATATTTTATAAAAAATATAAACGAAGAGAATAAAAGACCTGCCAATAAAAAATTCTAACAAAACATTTTTCTCTATTTGACCAAATTAACGGAAAACGGTAGCTGATGTTGGACTCTTTGATTCATAATACCAGGAAAATACTAAGAATAACTTAGTTAAACATTTTATTTATACCGAAAAAATATATGACAAAAACGGAATAAAACATAAAACTCTATATTACTCATATTTATTATGTAGAGTTCTGTTCAACTTGTGTAAATATTATTTGTAATTTAAACTCAATAACACGTTTTACGTACATATCATACTAATATTATAAATGCGAAAGTTTGGATGGATGGATGGATGTTTGTTTGAAATCTCCAGAATGGTTGAACGGATCTCGATGAAATTTGGTATACAAACAGAACGTAAGGCGAAAAACACATAGACTACTCATTTAGTTTATTTTATTTCGGGCGGACGGAGTCGCAGGCGACAGTTAGTTATTAAATAAATTACTTTTTATTAGGTATTTAATATTTCTACTTAAAATCGAATATTATTCCAATGTAAATTAAGGGCCAAACTGATTGTTTCAAGCAGAGTTTAGCGGAGTAACTTCTTGAAGCTGCCTCTGGCGATTACTTGAAGCCGCTGATTGGTTAAGCTAACTATTGTTACTGTGTTAATTGATTAATCTATTAACCGGCGAATTCTTTTGCGTACAATAGTCTTCGAATAGCATTTTAATTACAGTACCCATTAATACTATTTCTCAGGAGCCCAGCCAAAAACGCGTCTAAGCGAAAGTGTATTATACGGGATATAGATAAAACTTACTCTATATTATTGGCCAGGCTCAACCTTTGGCCGAAATGCGCGCCAGCCCTTGGATCCCATATATTAAATTATATTTATGTATTAATTTCTAATTCCGTACATCGTTGAATTTTTGGACGTGACGTGACGTACTTTGTGTAATTATACGTCACTAGCTGTCGCCCGAATCTCCGTCCGCCCGAAAATTAAAAAAAAAACATAATTAGTAGCCTACGTATTCTTCCAGACTATGTATGCCAAATTTCATCGAGATCCTTTCAGTTGTTTTGGAGATAACTTCAAACAAACATCCATATAAACATTCACATTTATAATATTAGTAAGATTTAAGTAATCATTTATTTTAACTCGACAAGAATTTGATGGTTAGTAATAATTAGATTCTCAATTTAACTGTATATCGTCTTCTCTTTGGTAGATGCTGTGCACTGCTGACAATACTTGGTCGTCTGATAAGATTGGAGTTGTTTCATCTTTGTTTTCAACATTATTATTCAGGGCCTAGGTGTTATTAGCATTTTCTATGAGATTTTCAATTGTTTGCAACTCTAACGATGCCATATTGTCATCGATGGAAGAATAACCAGGATAACCTTCACAGGTTCTTATTGCTTGAATACGTCAATAACTAGGTTAATTCGCATACTACCGCTACGGACAATAAGTGCGGCGTGTGATTGTGTATTAAACGTGATGAGGATCGTATTAAGCGTTAAGAAATGTATGAAAACATATCTCAAATTGTAGGGTCCAATATAAAATGGCGTATTATGCATGAAATCGTATTAAGCGGGTTCTACTGTATTTAAGCTAACTTGGAAGACGTTACAATAAAATATATATATTCAAGTAACATAAGATTGACATAAACATTTTATATGCTCTTACAAACTTTCATCCCCTATTCTTATTTTGCATCTTTGAGAGTTAAACTTTTAGAAACTTTGTATACTTAAGTTTTAAGCATCTTAATGTCAAAATGACAATACCTCCGTATAAATTTCCACCCCCATTTTCAACCCTTTACAGCACTTTTTTGCGTTAAAAAGCAGATTATGTCATTTCTCAGGCTCTAGACTACCTGTATACCAAATTTCATTTGAAACGGTTCAGTATTTTAAGTGTGAAAGCGAGACAGACAGAGTTACTTTAACATTCACAATATTAGTTAAAAAAAGGAATTACAATTAATGAAAACACATTAAACAAAATAACATCTAGAACAATCTAACTGAAGATATGTAATTAAAAAGGCGTCTGTCCATCACAAATGATGGACATATGAATGTGTTTATTTCTATAATATGTCACAACATAACAAACAATTGATGATAAATATATATAAATTGCATATCTAACAATACGGACGATGTGACAAATAAAGACTAGTCATATAAATTATATTAACAAATCAACATACAGACGTTTGATATAAAGACTTAACTCTCGCCCGCGACTCCGTTTGTGCGGAGTTAAAAAAAAACTAATCGAGTAGCCTATGTGTTCTTCCAGACTATGTTCTATATCTATGCCAAATTTCATCAAGATCCGTTGAGCCGTTCCGGTGATACCTTCAAACATCCATCCATCTGAACATTCGCATTTATAATATTAGTAAGATGTTTTTAAGGTTATTTTAATTAACTATACGTAACTAATTTTATACACTTATATAATTAATCCAATCAATATGTTTATTTTTTTGTCGGTTTATTCAAGTCGGTTTATTTAATGTCAAGGTTACCTTTATATCATCCGTGTGGTCGTCTGTTAAATATTTGAGTGTATTTGTAGCCGGCATCTTTGTATTTATTAAGTCTGTTTAAGTCTTAATTGTTTCGTGGTATTCAATTATCTGGCTAATATATATAATATAAGCTGTTTCAAATATTTGGCCGTTGACGACAGGAATTGTTGCTATTGAGTCCTAAATTAATGCCTTAGACCAACGATATTTCTTCTGATTGAATAGTTGTAACTATTCCAAATTAACTGAAAGATTGTATAATTCTTTACAAGTATGGTGCCCTCACCCCCGTACTACGCAGTAACTCGCGAGAAGTTCGCCGTAGAGTCGCCAAGATATGTGAAAACTACTATACTTAGATATGTTTTACGAGAATAAAGGCGGGAATCGGACTCACTAACCGTAAGATGTATAGTGCCAACCTTTTGGCGATTTGGATTTGTAACAAAAGATACAAAGTAACTATTTAAATGTACATTTATTATTATATAAAAAAACGTACGTAAAAAATGCGCCTAATCCTTGATCGTTATTTCACCAAAAGTCCTTGTGGATTATCATATGATCCGATAAAAAGGTAAATTATAATACTAATATTAGATAAGTCGAGTAATTACTTTTATCTTTATATACATATATATGATATTTGGATAAGGGATTCAAATATATTGGGAGTATATAAATTACAATACATCTGGTCTCCGAGTTTTGTTATAAAACGGTATATAATCATAATGTTATGTAAAACACTTTTAAATATTATGTATAAAAGATGGTAAACTATTCATAGCAATAATAGAAAGCTGTGAATTATCTATTTAACTAGCAGTAGCCTGCAACTCCGTCCGCGAAGAGTTCTACATCTATATGTGTTCTTCCAGACTATGTTCTACATCTATGTCAAATTTCAGCAAGATTCCGTTGAACCGTTTCGGAGATCCCTTTACAGATCCATCCATCTAAACATTCGCATTTATAATATTAGTAAGTTAGACGGTAGAGGTAGATTTGTTAAATATAATAAAATCATAGAGCAAAAAATTTCAAGTCCTTTATTTGGTTTTTAAATAGAAATGGCTTTAGATGGAATTATGATTAGAAAATGGGTCTACTTCTTAAAAGTTCAACTAAATAACTGTATGTAAAAAACGTGAGTTCATCCGCGTGAAATTCTGTCGAGAAGAAAAAATAGTCTATCTCCTTTTTCAGGCTATCAGTGTACCAACATTTTATTAAAATCGGTTCAGTAGTTTCGGTATGAAAACGAGACAGATAGACGGAGTTACTTTAGCATTTAATATTAAAGTAATAATTATTTAAACTCTACCGTTTTCCCTCGTAAATGAAGTGGAAGAAACAAAATCTTCAGTTCTTAAGTATTTTTGAAAAACTGACAAAATAATTATTTATCATCTTGTCCTGTAAATGTAGCAAACACTACATTAACTAGATTTATCTGGTGCATTAGTACTCCCTAATTACCTTTGTTCATAAAAAGATTAACTGAAACTTAAAGACATGTCCAAATTATTCGCCTCAGAACGACTTACGAGTAACACGAGTATTAGGGCTGAAGAAAGCATCAATACTCGTTGAACCTGAACACTGAAAAGATAAGATTCGTAAATAAACCTTTCTCTTATCACTCTCAATAAAATATCTTATCATTGCGACGAACGATTCAGTATTATTTTCGACATTTTAGTGAATTGTCGGTTGTTCCGAATTATAAAACGCGATATAAAATTTTCGCGCCTGTGTTGTGTGCATTTTTTATATATATTTTTTGTAACAGAACTATATTCGTTTCGGCCAGTATAAAATAATGGTACGTAATAATTTACAACAACCGTTTAATTTAAAGAAATAAAAAAATACAGTGTAATGAAGATTAGACGAAAACTATTTTTTTAATCTACAAATAAAAATTAGTGTCGTGCTTACGAAGGACCATTTTTCTTAAATAATGTCAAAATTCGAAGCATGAAACTCAATTAACAGTTAAGAACCTTTTTAACACATTTACGCAAATTCTTGTACATTTTAACCGTTAAAGCGATAAAGGTTGTTGCTTTCTGTGTTACATTTTCCGCTAGTTAAAATGACATAAAAATACCACGTTACACTTTTGTAAATTTTGGTTATATTATAAAGTAATATGAATAAAGACGTCCAACTTAAAATCCCTTATCGTCATAGGGACGATCCTCAAGGAAAGACTTCCTAGGTCGTTCTAAAAATTAGGACGTCTTTTTCCCCTTTCTTTACATCCTTTCCTCTGTTTCTTAGGTAGGCAAGGCAACGTAATGTGAACTATCACTATGGGTTTCTGAGATCAAAACCTCTGTCTAAAACATATCGTAATCCCTCTATTATCTTTGAAAAGAAAGAGATAACAATATGTTTTTAATATATGTTTAAACGAAGATTTTGGTTTCATAAAACCACAGTCATACGTTATAGACATGTCTGTATTCTATTAATTACAAATTCAGTCAGAATTTACACAAAAATTTTTTTTTACTAATATACGAGAAACACGACTTATATATTTATAACCCAGTAATATAATTTAATAATGAACAAATAGTTTGATGATTAATATTGAACACGTATATCAATAGATAAGTAAATTTTTTTCGATTAGTTTATCGCATTTTTAATGACGCTTGAGTTTAGGGATTTACGATTAACGATAATTTAGGAGTTAATGGTCAATAAAATATGTAATGCCAAAAAAAACAGATTGAAATCAGTTTTATATTCTGGTATAAATTAAAAACGATCGATATTCGAAATTTGAACATCAGCAAAGATTTTTTTATTTTAAATAAAGAATTGTTCTAAATTCGAACATAATTGATCAGCAATGTTTTTTTTTTAATTTTGAATAAAGAAGAATTTTATTCATCACATTAACTTAAACCGAGTCAAATACGCGTAATTAAAATCCGTTCGCGTGATTACGTTAAAAACGCATACAAAGTTTTCGCTTCACGCAATTAATATAATGATGTCGTAAAATAATTTCTCAAAGTAAAGTCTATGGTTCTGAGAAAGAAAAACAATTATGTCGTTAATTTATGATAGATATTAATTTATTAGTATTTAATTATCCCAGTCTTCAAATATTTTTATTTGCTATTAGTGATGTGACTTGCCACAAAACAATGGGAATAAAGACGCATGTTGTATCTTACGATAACTACAACTCGCAACAGAATCATAATTAAGGAAATCAAAACATAGATTACTAACTATCGCCCGCGACTCTATCCGTGCGGATTATGCTCTATACCTATGCCAAGTTTCAGCGAAATCTATACAGTCGTTCTCGAGATACCTTCAAACAAACATCCATCCAAACATTCGCATTTATAATATTAGTAAGATTGACACAGTTTGTTTGCCACCATCGCCAATATACTTTGAAAAATCTGATGTGGCTTATTCTTATTTTCTTGTGGCTTTTCTAATCGTTTAATATTATAAAAAATCCATATTAAGTACTTTAAAATGATTATTCCTAAACACACAAATCTCACCAAAACCACGTTCGATGTTTTACAATATTTTTTAAATTTGTTACAGATAAAATGTTTTGTGAGCGATTGAAAACTGAAAAATCTATTACAAAAACCGATTTGACAAGCTGATGATTATTTAAAAGTTCAAACAAATAAGAAAAATGAATACAAACGGAACAACACAAACTAGGAGTAATGGTGTAAGTAATTTTTTATTTTTTTAATAAAACACTGGCCAAAGACAAAGAATACAATTTTTATATCAACGTTTTTTGGAATATCATTGGATCGATGTAAATTATTCAAGGATCTATACCAACTCTGTCACTCTCTTGTGACATAAACATGATTTCTGATCTTTAGACCAAGACCAGACACCCTAAGACAGGAGCCTAAACCTAGGACAGGAATATCTTTAGGCTTTAGGTAGGCTCCGAGCCTCAGTGGGGTCTACAGTGACCTGATGATGATATGGTTTCTAACGACGATTTTTGGTGTGTAAGTAAAATAAAACGCATAACCATAAGTTTTGACTGTTGAATCACACACAAAATATATAGAGTCAAACTTGAATAATCGAGAATCCAAAGTATCCCAATATTCTTGTTTATCCTCTTTCTAACCTCAGTTTCTTGATTAAGGAGGTCGCCATTTGCACTAGACAATGACTTTCGCTTAGGGAAGTTTTTCGTTTATCCAATAGTCAGGACTGTTAAACTCTATGAGAAGAGAGAGATAGTTAAAAATACGTTTTTGTGTATTGTAGTACTTAAAAACCACATTGGTGTGAAGCAAATTGCATTCATAACTTGTTCAAACAGCGATAAGGTGTATTGTTAAAGTGGTACGCAACTTCAGTTAAGTACAGTCATAATCAAAAATTTTATAACCCGCTACTGATAAGAATTGCTGACTTTATTTTTTATTGTTACGTACATAAAATAGTTTTTTTTTCAATTCAATTTGACTTATTTTTTTTTATATCATAAGGTGGCAAACGAGCGAGCGGCCACATGAAATCGCTGATACAGCGAAGTGACCGTTGCCCATAGACATACGCAATTGCATATGCGTTGCCTACCTTTAATCGACGGAGGAGAGGATGCACATAAAGAAAATATATTCCCTTTCCATGCATCCTCTCATTCGGAAAGTCCACTTCCACTTCCCATCCTTTCCTTATATATTATAAAATATATTAAAACGCGGAATTGCTTCCACTTGACGCGTGTCTTCTGTGTGGTCGTGGTATTTCACCGAGCGAACCGGGCCAATTCGTGCGAAGATGTTAAAGCGAGCTCTGCCACTGTTAAATCTTATAATTGTAGCATACATAGTTTGTTTCCAAATGTAAGTTTCTATTGGTAAAAACACCGATAAGGAACATATTGTCATCACTCTGGTTCACTTTGAGAAGGTAGCAATATTTTTTTTTATTGCTTTTACCTTTGTAAGTAAGAAAATGTGTCATCTACAATTGTTTGTGATAGAATTTTCAACAAAATATGCCTCGTGAAACAATCCCAAACAATAATAAAAATAAAGGTGTTGATTCATTAGCGCTATTTTGCGACAATATTAAATCGTATTCAGGGCTTTTAAATAGTCACTAAGGACCTATTTTCGTTTGAGAAATCTGCAACTGCCGCATATCCCTCTTAGTGTATAGTTAATAAAAGGAATCTAAGCAACCAATTAATAAATATGACTGCGAAAATTGCTTTTTATTAAGTCATTTATCCAGATTATAAAAAGTTAAAAACTTATAAATTGTTTTAAAGTATTTTAAATTAAAGGATGTACAATGTTATACAAAATACCTAGTGAGATATCTATTAGATAAGTTATCGACATTTTAATTTAGGTTATTAAAATAAATGTTAGTTGATAGTGCGACCGCGGCCTTATTTCACCTGTTTACTAACATAGTATAACTGTGGTGTGCGCGTGTGCATTCCCTCGTAGCATTTACTAGTGTATTGTAGTTATAAAAACGTCTCGTATTGTAAATTAAATTTATATATAAATAACAAATGAATTGAGTTAATTTCTTTAAAGGATATTTTAAATATTAATATTTACGTACTTAAAAGTTTGTGTTCGTGAATCATCAAAATTGTCTTTAAGGTAAAAATATTTTTACGATAGTTCTAGAAAGTCAAAACTGCCAACTTAATTACGTTAGTTGTTATATAAAAAGGCCCGATTTTTAAATATATTTTTCTGTTTGTACGAAAATCAAATAAATTAAACCTACTGGATTGATTTTAAAAATTTTGTTTATAACAAACTTTAAAAAAAAATATAATAAATAATTGTATTTATAGACAGCAGATGGAACCTTCGTGGAAATGGATGAAATGCAGAAAAAGGAGGAAGCAGACCCTAATGGAGAGGTAAGTCTTATAGTTATATTAGCTGTCGCCCGCGATTCTGTCCGCGCGAAATGAAGAATAAAAACGTAATGCCTGTGCCTCCAGACTATGTTCTACATCTGTGACAAATTTCATAACGATCCGTTGAGCCGTTCCGGAGATACCTTCTAATAAACATCCATCCATCCATCTATGTATGTAAATTTTCGTATTTATCAGCATATGCATTTTCGTAAGTAACAAATACTTTTTATATTGTTATTCCTTAATAAGTCACTAATCTAATAGATAAAAAATATTCTTGGTCATCCCATAGCAACAATGTCACGCGCTTGTACATTTTGACTTCTTCCTACCTTTTAATGTGACTAAACTATCTACTTATTTTTAAAAACACACGAATCTTAAAGAAAACATGTATAGGGTAGTCATCATCATCAGCTCACTATACATCCCCACCGACGGGCTCGGAGTCTACCCTAAGTAAAGGGTGATTAGTCCATAGTCAACCACGCTGGCCAAGTGCGGGTTGGTTGACTTCACACATACTCGTATAATAACTTTGAATTTCTTCTATGTGCGGGTTGCATCACGATGTTTTCCATAACGGTAAGATCGTTGAATAAATGTACATATGTAAAATCGGGAATCGAAAAACACTTTGGTACATGGCGGGATTCGAACCCAGGACCTGCAGATTGCAAGTCAAGTGCTTGACCCCTGAGCCACCGACGCTCTCGTAAAGGGTTGTCATTGAAGATTTATTAAATTAAAATAATTTACCAACCGTAGGTTTCAGAGAATAAAATCTCTGCTTAAAACATTGTTATCTCTGTTTTGTCAAAGATAATGACAGGGATAACGATATGTTTTATACAGAGAATTTGATCTCAGAAATCAACGGCAAATATGCCAAGGAAAGGCGTGAGTTGATATTTTACTTTCAAAATGTTCTCCGTTTGCGAACCAGCAAGGTAACATTCATTGCCGGTTAATACGTTCAATACTTCCTTTAAAAAGTCATGATTAGTTTTTGTCTGACGTTTGTCAATTGTTTTATCTTGCCTATTTTAATTGAAGATTTTGTTTGTCATAATCGAAGAGGTAATGCGTTTTGTTTGTTCCTGGAATTAATATAAAGAATTTTACTTTATAATTCCAACGAAAGTTAAGTAATCGGTCTCATAACACTAGTTAGCTATGCGTTTAATAAAATTTCTATGTAATTAAATACATTTTCGTAAGAAACAAACACTAGAGTATAAAAATCACTTAATATTGTATGTGTCGTTTATTTTACCTTTATTTCTTTTTTCTTTTTCAGATAGTCCATGAGAAGTTGGAGTATGAGCCGAGCGGTTGGTTCGAGCTGACGCTGAACAAAGCAGGCAGCTCCACTGAGGACTTCCTAAAGAAGAACAGCTCTGCTATGAAGACGATAGCCGTCTTTGTGTTAAATGGCCTTGTTATTGGGTTCTTTTTCGGATGTCTATATTACTGGATGAATCATAGTAAGTATTTATTAAGCAATTTAATTGATCGTTTTTAGTTTGTGGTATAGGATGTTCATTTTTTCCCGAAATTAGTAAAATGTTTGACGCTACCAATGCAATAAAGCGGATGCTTAATTCAATACAGCCCTTATGGGGACAATTTGCTGTGCGATATTTGACACTAAATGTTAGTTGTTAGGGTCGAATATCGAATATACAAATTTATTTGGCGTATTCAGAAATATTTTTCGTAATATGGGTGGTGATCAAAGCTTATTGTTTTTTTTTGTTTCTCAGGTAACAAGCCTTTAGAACTTTGCCATGGATTCGGAAGTCTGATAGCCTTCCTCAGTATAGTTTACTTCTTCGTGATTTACTTCCTCGTGGTGAAGAGGTACTTCGGCGAGTGGTTCGAGAAGACAGTATGGATAAGAATCGAGACGATAGCTCATTGTCTTTGGAAAAAGATGTAAGTTAAACAATTCTACTAATAACACAGTTCGTGGGAAGCGATTGTATCTCCCTGTTGTAAAAGATAAAGAGATTTCTCAGAGATAATAGGAAAATCCAAAACAAATACACGTGTCACTGCAGTAAAAGCAATTACTTATCTTTCTAATCGTCACAAAGTTCACGGTCTCTATCAAAACATCTGTGCGAATGAGAGAATGAAAGAATTGACACATATTTGTACTTGCAATATTTGAATATGTGAATACTCTGTCCTCGGCGGTATTTCGCAACAGTTACGATTTAGTGGCCTTCAAGAAAATGGCGTACACTTCCTTTAAATGTCAATGGGCGACGGATTAAATTTTACCGATCCGTTGCTCGTTTGTCCCCCCCCCCTTCTCGTAAAAATTAAGAACAATTATTTTACACAAATTAAGAACATTAATTCCATTGCATTTTTTTCGTTATCAAGACTTAAACCACTATCAAAAAGGTGGAAAGTTAACTCGTATGTACATTTTTGTAAGTGTGTTTTAAACTTGTTTTATAAAGATGGTTCCGCTGGTGTTTCTCTGTGGGCGTCCTGGCTGCGATTGCCGTGTTCCTCTACTTCGATACGAGAGACGCGCCTGAAAGACTGATCTCATTACTTGGCCTCATTGTTCTATTACTATTAGGTATGTAGGCTAGTCAGCTAACTCGTACTGTGCCAGAGTAATGCTTAATATTTGACTCTTACTTATCAGTTTAAATTGTCTAACTAGCTGTCGCCTGCGACTCCGTCCGCGGAATTAAAAAAACATAATTAGTATCTAATGCGTTCTTCCAGACTATGTGTATGTCAAATTTCAGCCATCTAAACATTCGCATTTATAATATTAGTAATATTATCGTTCATATTATTATTGTAACATTCTTTGTAATTTATCTATATAATAGATTATATTATTATTAATTAGTTTATTTTATTATCAAAGGTCGTTGATATATTTACGATGCATAGTGATATAGTCATAAATAATTAATTGCTTTTATCTCCATCAGTTATCGATACCTAGACGAGCCCCTTCATACTATCCGAATAAAATATTTTCCCTATTTTTGTAATGTAATTTTATATTTATTGCTCGCAAACAGAACTTATACTGTCTATTATAAATGCGATTTTTTGGATGGATGGATGTATGTTTGTTTGTTTGGAGATATCTCCTGAACGGCTGCATGGATTTTGCTGAAATTTGTCGTAGATGTAGAACATAGTCTGGAAGAACACATATACTATTTATTAGTCTTTTTTAAATTCAGTATTCAAGTAGTCGCGGGCTATAGCTAGTTAACTATATTTTATTATATTATTGTGTTTTATAAAAGTTAGTGACGAAAATGTCATCTAACCAAGCATTTTCAATGCCTAAGCATTTTTACAATAACATATTTATACAGTTGTTTTTGAGAAACTCAAGCTTATATTGATTTACACTGTTGTAGGTTTTGTATTCTCTGCCCACCCCGGGCGCATCAAATGGCGCACGGTTAGCATGGGCCTGCTGATACAGTTTATATTCGGCCTGATCTTCATCAGGTGGGACTCCGGCAGGCTCGCTCTGCAGTGCTTCTCTGATAAGGTATTCTTCGCACATTGATTGATACTAAACGTCAGGAAGGGATAAATTACGCTTAACAGATTACACGCGGCAAACGTTCACTTGACGCCTCACCTCTGTGTGGTCGTGACACTGTCCCAGCGAGCCATTTTTTCCCGTAGAATTTTCAGTAGCTCTTTAAATACATTAACTGTAGAATTATTGGTCTTTTTTTGTATTTACTGTTATGTTTTATTTTCCAGGTGGCCACTTTCCTGTCGTACGGTGTAGAAGGCGCTGCGTTCGTGTTCGGTGACCTTTTAGTCAGGACTGAAGGAGTCTTTGCTTTCAGCGTAAGTTTTAAAACCTTTTATTTTTTTTATTTACAATGTTAGATGTTTTTTTTTTAAATTGCGACGACGGCAGACGCTGCCAGTGATCTTCTTCTTCAGCATGCTGGTGGAAGTGTTGTTCTTCTGGGGTGCGCTGCAGTGGTTTTGCCTGCGGCTGGGGCACGTGCTGCGCTCCCTCACCTCCACCACAGTCTGCGAGAGCGTAATTTCCGTCGCTAACGTCTTTCTTGGACAGGTTGGTAATATTTACAAGATAAAGAAGGAACTACCATCAATTCGTCGTAGTCAAGTTGTCATATTGTCAATTCATTATTAGTTGTCAAAATGTCAAATTGTCAATTATCATTGTCACTTATCGAATTGTTAAATGTTTGCTTACTCTTATTTTCAATTGTTATACTGTCAAATTATGAAATAGTCATACTATCAAATTGTCAAGTTGTCATACTGTCAAATTGTCCACTTGTCATGCTGTCATATTGTTTATTGTCATTGTCATGTTCATTCATAATTGTACTATTTATCTTTTTATGACAGTCGGAGTCGGTGTTGATAATCAAGCCGTACCTTGCGCTGCTCACCCCCTCCGAGATACACGTCGTGATGTCTTCAGGCTTCGCAACGGTATCGGGCAAGTTTAGCTTTCCAATTCAAAACAATTGCTACAAAGACCACTAGCAAAGTAATCTCCAACCAAAAAAAAACCCTTGATTGATTGTGTGTCTATGAAAAAAATCTGATCTTAAAACCTTTAACTTCCATTCTTAGTTTCTCTTCCTCAGTTACCTACATGTTTTAGTAAACAAGCGCCTTGTATCTCTATTTACTAGGTACAATCCTAGCAGCATACATAGCATTTGGCGCGGAGCCGGCGCACCTGGTGACAGCGAGCGTGATGTCCGCGCCCGCCGCGCTCTGCTACGCCAAGCTCATGTTGCCGGAGACGCGTCGCAGCCGCACCGCCGTACACAACCTGCAGCCCGTTGAAATGTCAGTGTTGCCACACTAACAAACATGTCGTCTCTCTCGTGCCTTTAGGAATAAACAGAGACAGCATTATACTGCTTTTATTTAATGTTTTAGAGTCGTAGTGAGTCAACTGTTGAAAAAATTGTTGTAAAATTCTATGTTAACTAAACATAATTTTCATGATAAGGAGTATTTTTACTATAGTTTTTAAGAAAAGTAAGATTACAGAGTAGTAAAAGGTAGAAGATAAATATAAGGATAGCAAAAGCTAAAAAGTCAGAAGTAGTAGTAGAATTAAAGGCAATAAAAAACCGACACTTTTTTGGACTCCTAATAACCATTCTGAATTGTCAGTGAGGACCAATCCGCACTATCAGCTGCGACGCGAGGTGCGACCAATGGCGTGGCTCTGATCATGAACATCATCGCTAACTTGGTGGCCTTCGTTGCGGTGATCGCCTTCCTGAACGGCGTGCTCGGCTACTGCGGCGGTCTGCTCGGCAACCCTGACATCAACCTCGAATGGATTTTCGGCAAGATCTTTATACCGCTCTGCTGGCTCATGGGTACGAATAACATATTTAACTAAGCTGGAAAGGTAACAAGAAATAAAAGTCGAATCAGTACTATAATTCTAATTCAACTAAGCAATTATTACGTTACGTTAAGAAGCTTACGGATATTTGGAATTGAATAAATAGTTAACTTATTTTGTGAGGTAACATACAACTATTGCTATGAAAGTAAAGTGGATTGAATGAGAAATGCAAATTCGTCAAATGATAGACGTTTTTTAGTTTGGTTTATGTTTTGCAGGCGTGCCGTGGGAGGAATGCGAGCACGTCGGCACACTTGTGGGCCTCAAGACAGTGGTCAACGAGTTTGTCGCCTACCAGCGTATGGGCGAGATGAAGAATCAAGGCTTGTTATCGGTAAGTACACCGTCTAAAGATCTTGAGATCTCTAGCTTTAGTTATTTTGAGAAATGCTTTTAGCAGATTGAATAGTTAACACGGTAATATAATTCTGAATGGCAAATGAAACAAGAAAAGATAACTAATTTTAATTTTATTTTAGAGGAACTTTAGCTTAGTCAATGAATATGGCTATTATTATTGTTTAATTTAATTTAACGTGCAGTCTCGAGGCGAGCTGATAGCGACATACGCGCTGTGCGGGTTCACCAACCCGGCATCTGCAGGCATCATGATTGGTGCCATCTCCGCCATGGCGCCCGCACAGCGAGAGACACTCTCCAGTGTAAGTTACATGTAGTTACTTTATCTCAATCAGAGAGTTTCCATTATTGAAACGCAAATAGTATTTACGCTGTACAAGTTTTGTCTTGTTGTATTTTCATTTTAAAATGTTAGTTTACTTTTATGTTTCCAGGTGGCAGTGCGAGCGTTTTTCACCGGTTGCGGAATCTGCTTTATGACGGCTTGCATTGCGGGTAAATTAAATTATTGTACATAAGTTAAATCTCTAAATAAATCTAATTGCCTTTTAAATATTATGTTCCATTTTTTCAGGTCTGCTGATGCCGGAAGGATCATTCGGTTAAACCTACAAAATAGCTAATGACTGTACTTAAAATTAGTTTATTAGTTGAATAATTGTATTGTAAATATTATATTCATAATTAAACTATAATAATTTTTGTTGTAAACAGTAGATTAACTTTACTGATCACCACACGTTTTTTTTATATCAGAAGGTGGCAAACGAGCGAGCGGCCACCTGAAATCGCTGAAATAGCGAAGTGACCGTTGCCCATAGACATACGCAATTGCATATGCGTTGCCTACCTTTAATCGACGAAGGAGAGGATGCACATAAAGAAAATATTTTCCCCTTCCATGCATCCTCTCACCCGGAAAGTCCACTTCCACTTCCCATCCTTTCCTTATAACAATAAGGGTAGGAAAGGAAAGAGGACTAAATTAGGCCTCCGGGACACACACTCATCAGACGAAACGCGGAACTGCTTCCACTTGACGCCTGTCTTCGGTGTGGTCGTGGTATTTCACCGGGCGAGCCGGGACAATTCGTGCGAAGATGTTAAAGCGGGCTCTACCACTGTTAAGGACTCTAGTTCTATTGGCACGCTAAAAGCGGAATTGCGCAGCTATTAGTTCTGTGTAAAAGGGATTTAAGACTAAGAGAGTGTCACATTGGCGAATACAAGCCTTCCAGATCACAATACTGGATCCAGTCTTGGTGTTGCGTTGTAACAACTTTTGAATTGAATCTCATACATCTGATCGTCGCTATGTTGTTATAGTTTGTCTAAATATGTTAGCCATTTTCGAAAGACAAACGTACGACAATCAACTGATTTTTTTCAAACGATTACTTTATTTTGCTCGTCTGTTTATGATTCTCAATAAATACTCTATAAATCATTGTTTTAGAAAAATAAACTGGAAAACACGCTTTCCGCTTTCGCATTGCAATTGTCAAAAACGTCATAGCACAATGCACTCTATCGGGAAGTGTTTCGATTTTATAAAAAACCTACGCAAAATCTATTGAAAAAGTGCCTTAGTTATGATACCGTATCATTTTCAAATTTACGCGAGTGTGTCGTTCTTTTTCCTTTGTAAAATTATTTGTTACCTTTCAAGCTTCATATCAATGTTGGATAAGAAACGTCCGACATTGATGAGTGACTCCGGAAAGGAAGAGACCGACGAAGATGTGTGCAAATGGATACCAAAGAAAAAACACGAGGTCCTGAAGGCCAAGTACAAATGTCTCAAGAAGCTGTTCCAAATCTATGATGCGAGTGTCATCGGCATTCTGCCTGAGCCGTACGGCGGGGAGAGGCGCGAGGAGCGGCGGCACTCGCGGCGGCGGCGCTCGCACCGGACCAAGACGGATGCGTGCGCCGGCACAGCGGATCCTGCAGCGCCGCCCTCGCCCCTCCTAGCGCCCGCCGAGCGCAGCTCCCTTACCACGGCCGTCGTCCGCGACCTCAAGCTGCAATACACCTCTACCTCTACACAAGAGTCCCTCGTACGCCGCGACAAGTACACGCAGGACTGCAAAGACCTCCTCTCCGTCACCACCAGCGAAAAGGAATGCGAATGCACTCAGACTTCGGAAATCCTGCACGCGACTCCGTTCATGATGTTGAAAGACTCGCAACCTAAGCCGACGCGTTTTCAGCTGTTCCTCCAACGAATACTTGGCATAAGACGAGAGAAGTCCAACAACGGCCTGCCCTCCCCCCACATGTACGCGGCGAGCGACAACAACATCAGCAATCGATACGAGAAGCGCCGTCGACGCGGGATGCGATTTCGTCGGCTTCGGGGTGCAAAGAAAGTGTACTCGGAGTCCGCGCTGAGGGAGCGGCAGAGCCCCGTCATACTGAGCTACGTACAGTCCGTGCAGAGGAACTGCTTGATGGACACTACGCCGAGGCAATGCCCTTTCATGGGGTGCAGGATGATTTTTTACGGTATCTTTCTTAAAGTTACTATGAAATTACGACATCGTATAACAAGTTATCTTGGGGATTTTTTTCAATTGAATGATTGTTTTCGTTTTTATCCACAGGTATTATTAACTACAACGATCACATAAACCTGTGCCACTTCACTGATCGCAAGTTCTCCTGTCACTACTGCCACGAGGGATTTCTGAGAGAGCGCGACAAATTGTTACATGAAAATGAACATATTGGCATATCTAAACTGAGCACTAATCTAACATCTACAATATCTGGACATCACTCGAAAGTGGCCAACGTGACACAAACCGATCCCGAACCGAAGCAGATTAACGAAGAGAAGTTAAAGAAGATTGTCTCATTCTTTGACAAGATTGAGGATCCGGAGGAAATCATTGCCGAACTGAAAAAGAGTCGTCACTCCACGTCGAATGTTAACCTCACTCGCCACTCCTCTAAAGTGGACACCGTGGCATCTGGGGCCAGCAAGTCCACCTCCAACTCGCGAAGGTCGAGCTGTGTTCACCTGCAGAAGGCAGATAGGAAGTCCAGCTCGTCCGTCGAGTCGGACACGTCGTCAGTGCACACTTCAGGGTCGTCACTCAGATGTCAAATTTGTGGACTAAAGTTTGATCACATGTAAGCGATTATTTTAACATTTATAGGTTTTATTGAATCTGAAATGGAGCAACCTTTTAGCTTAAACGTAGATGTACTTTGTAACTCCAATGCAAACATTTTCCAGACAGCGTTTAAATATGCACGTGTGCGCCGAGCATCGAAGTGGTAGCAGATGCTCTGGGCAGAGCCGGGGCGAGCGGCCGGCAAGCCCGCTCAGCCCGCCCGGCGCGCCGAGCCCACCACTCTACCACGACAATTCGGACGACGAGGAGCCCGTCTCCGTGCTCGCTAACAAGAGTTACTCGACTTTACATCGCGTCAACACATCGTCTACTTTCACTCGCTTCACCTCTGAAGAGAAGTCGGCTATGAGCTACGATCCCTCCACCAATATTATTTATTATTCATCATCAGAGTCAGTGAAGAATCCGTCGGTGATTGGTGAGACGGTGAAGCGAGGCCGCGCCGGCTTCAACAGTTACAAGTGGGAACCCGGAACCAATTCTATTCATGCCTGATTGTTTTGTCTATTGACGTATTATTTTCTTTTGGTTTAAATATAAATGAAAAATCCATTCCGTCGTTTCATTTCCTAAACATCGGTCTAAGACAAAATGGAAGGTCTTTTCGTCTTCAATAAATATAATTTCCACATTTCTGTTAGTTTTTATAAGTCATATGAAATAAGGAAAATCGGTAGAAATAAAACAATCCAATACAAACCACACATATTTATTGCAGGTTTTATAATTTCTACAAACTCCCACTCGACGCGTGAGATCGCCAACAGCAAAATAAATTGTAACGCAATGGAAGCCACTTTTCAAATCTCCCTCTTCTCTACACTCGCCGTCAAAAACTTATACCCTATTAACATAATCCTTTCTATATCAAAAATGTATGTGAAACCAAATGTATATAATATATTAAATGGTAATATATGCACCTATAAAATATCGTATCACTTACCAGTAAAATAACTAACAGTGGTTAAAAGATAAAATAACAAATTCAAGCCAATATAACACGCATTCATTGCCATATAAAATATTATTCATAAGCCGAATATATATCAAATAAAATTGTGCTTTTTATTAAAATGTAATAGATTTTCAATAACAAAATTGTAGAACTTACAACATTACAAATTGTGCAATAAAAACAACTATTTTTAATTTATTATGAAATAAAGTGTACATAAATATTTTGACTTCAGAAACCCCAAGTATTAAGGGTAGGTTTCAACTTAAAATACCCCAATTTAACATTGTTACGTTATACGTCTGCATATAATAATAATTGCAACGTTATATGCAAAATGAAGAGAAATATGCGATATGAATATATATCATACAATTGGTTTACATTGCCGAAACATTGTACAAAAACATTTCAAATTTCTTTGGGTCCATTTTGATAGCGTGCCCGTGGCCCCGTCCCGAAGCGTTGGAGGAACAGAGAGATTTAGTGGGTATGCCTCCGCTATGGAGGAGAATCCCAAATAACTACTGCGTCCCCCCCCCCCCGGGGCGCGGAGTATGCATAAAGCATTCCTCTCTGAAAAAAGGGTCCATTCTGACTGAGAACAAGAGCAGCAATCACAAGTAAAATTGAGCTTTACAAAATTGGAATAAGGTTTTCAATTCTTCACGCCTTTTCAATTCACATAAACCTCTATTCTCTTTGAAAAACCAGAGACAATATGTCAAGGCAAGTGTCACTGGAAACACACTTTCAATAATTACTGTAATCTATTTTTGTACATGTTCCGGCAATGCAAACTTAAATTATCTCCGTTTCAAACGTATCCAGAGCGATCTCACAGCATCCCAATCTTATCCCCACATCGACTTCCATCACATAGCACCGCACCATGATATTAACCTTTTCACTTTGAGAATGCATTCTTGTAAAAAAACATATTAGTCCGGCTAAAATATGACTAGTATTACATTTTCATGTGCTTTATGTTGTAGGTTTCCATTGCTGACAAAATTATGTAAAAATATATCGTCAGTCAACTTATGTCATTTATAGTCGACTTCCACTGAATTATGAACTGAAAAATTATATTTACATTGTTAGTAATACGGACATTCTCTTTTTAAATCTATGTATAAAGAGTAAATTGTTTAGATAGGTTTGTTATAATTTATTTTCTTTTTTCGACTTTACAGATATCTGCAGTGAAAACCCAGGGTTAAAGAAAGCAAATTATCAGTTATAGTCGGCAGTGAAAGTTAATTACATATTGTCCAGTAAAGAATATCGTATAAACAAAAAAAAATTCATAAATACACGAAAATAAGGTTTAACATGCATTGACATTTCGTTCAAACAAACCTATTGAAAAAACATTTTTTAGTTACATTTCAGGATTTTTACTTGTGTTTTATTTTATTAAATATGAATAACATAATTTTAAACATAAATACTAAAAAGTTATCATTAAAAATTAAAGTTTTAAAGCAACAGATTGTAAGTTTACATTCCCATTGACAAAATTGTAATTACTTTTTTTTTAAATATACTCAAAAAGGTCGATACAAAACACTAATATAATGCCTCTCCATAGACGTATCGTCGTTACCAACATTCCAACACTAATAATCTTTTATCTCTTTCTATCGTAAAACGTTTCCAAAATAACCTCTCTCTTTCTTAATATCAATTTCGTTTCCCCACAGATAAGTGCAAACTACTGGGTTACAACAATAATTTTTGATTGCCAAGAATTATGGAAATTAAGCAAAAATAATTAGTTTCAAAATTTTAAAAATCTTTATACGACAAAATTAAAAAAAACCTTCTTAGTTGTTGAACAATAATAAAAAAAGTTGCCTTAATAGAATAAAACCTTTAAAGTTTATTTTTTTATCGAGAAATGATTGATGCCACAGTTTTGCACAGTTAAAAAATATAATTTATTTCCTCACTATAAATGAATACGGAATTCAAATTCCATAACTCTTAGCAATAACGATAAATTTACTTTTAACATTAGCCAATTTTAAATTGATCAATATTCTAGAAGAAATACTTATTTTCATTATACGATCCCTCGTCCTCTGCAGTACATAGAGTATTCTAACTTTATAAATAGGGTTGCCACAAATATGTTACACTTCAAAATTATTATTAAATCATTATTGACAACCATAATAATAAAAACAGTACAAATGTAGGATTAAAGGTACTTAGACATTATTTAATGTTTAAATTTGGTTTAAGGTTAGCAAAAACATCATCAACACAATCGTAATTAAGAGTACTAATAATGGTTTAGGAGCGCCCCAAATAGAGGTCTTTTGTCTCTGCCTATCACTCTGGGTGAGAGGCGTGAGTTATGTTTTTATATTAAATGGTTTATGTGGCAACCCTACATACATCACCTAACCTAAGCATATAATTACGTTCGCAAATTATAAACAAAATTAAACAAACAAAAAGTCTATACATATTGTATATAATGCATAAAACTATAAAATATAAAAATCTAATTATTGTAGTGACTGTAACAATTCTTTATATAACTGTAAATGCTTTACAATGGCGAGATATTAAAAAAAAATTGCAGATTATTTACATGTAGAAACATAGGCATTGTGAAGTCACGACAAACATTTATGTAACAATATTTGGGTTATTTAAAATAGGGTTGCCAACAGAAAGGCAATTTTTAATAAAATACTTTGATTATTTTTTTTAATTATTCAATTCTCTTAGTAAAGCAAATTTATACGATTAAAATGTTTGTCGCGGACTAGTAAACTTGTTCATTAATCTATAGTTAAAAAATCCATTAAATGTATATTATAAAAAGCATTTAAAACCCCTAAAAATCGATAAATTGAATATACATTTTTGTTATCACAAATGTGATATAGTCCATTAAATTTTGAATTTCTTAATAGTATTAAAATATACCGTCTTATATTCTAAGATGAAACATGTTACAAATGTAAACTTATCACAAACTACAGTAAAACAAAGTTAAGACTCATTTTGGAGGTAATTGTTTTGAGCTACCCTTTATATTTTACAACTGAAATGGCCAATGTATTGGGGATTCAGGAATAATTTCTGCCGCAATATCTGAAAATGGAAACAATAAATGATAAATTACCGTGTGGAAGGAAGTTTGATTCGTACGTGCTTGGTATCATGTGGGCACAGCCACGCCCACTGGTATTATTACCACGCCTCTTTGTTATATTGTGAATAATTTTTTTTAAACCAGAAATACAATAAATAAAACGTATGGAATTTGAGGATTATCAAAAGTAAATAATTTTAAAACTCATAATTTTAAAATTTACACTATGTACATATTAGTTAACTTTTTAGTTATAAATACAGGAACTTGGGTGAGACATTGAATGGTCCTTATGGACGACCTCCATAAGCGAGACACTCGGTTTAAAGAGAAAACATTATAAATAAGAATATTGCGGTCCCTTAGTTAATACAATTACTTAGGTAATAGGTATCGTTTTTTTTTAAGACATGAAGTATTCATAATAACCTAGGACATGGAGGAGCAGGGAAGGCGCGGGCTGCCCATCTGTGTGAGCACGCGGTCCAGCCACTGCAGCGGCCCGTTCAGGTGCAGCTCGATCCAGCACGGTGTTGAAGTCACCGTTTGACGCCTGCGCACAAACACACATACATGTTAACACAAATGTTTGTAAATACGAAAGTGAAATTCCGGAAACCATTATTTAAGGAATTATAGTCGAATCTGGGTAATCGAGAAACCTCTACAAGCGAGAAACTAGGGTAAGAGAGAAATCTTTATAAGCGAGAATAATATTGCGGTTCCTTGGACTCTACTTATTCGAGGTTTGACTGTATTCTTCCACTCGCACATTAAGTTTATAAATATAAGCACTACAAGTATTCCTCATAGAATTACCGGTCATGCGTCACGCTAGTGGAAAAGTGCCTCAAATCTTAAGGTCTTGTACCTGTACTCGGCGCCCCAGCCCTTAACGAAGCTCATACGTATAGTACACATGCGCGTCAGCTGGAACACCGCCTCAAAGCCTTGCGACACCGACTGCGACAACAGCGCCGCGAACTCTTGGTTGTTGAAGATCTTCAGATTGCAACCTGAACATATACAAAATACACATTTGTACAATGAATTAAAAATACGACTTAAATATATTTAGTGAAAAAAAAACAAAGAAATTATGACATATTCTTTGAAACTGTATACTTGATAAATATTAACAACATATAAATACACAGTATATTACTTTCACTAACTGTCTTCCGCGATTTCGTCCGTGCGGAATTAAAAACAAATTTAGTAGCTTATGTCTTCTTTCAGTTATTTCTATATCTATGCCAAATTTAAGCAAAATATATGCAGCCGTTATGGACATACCTTCAAACAAACATCCATCTATCCATCCATCTAAACATTCGCATTTATAATAGTAAGATTTGACTTTTCGAGAACACAATAATACACACATTCAAACATTAGACTGATTATATTCCTCCATACTATCTTGTATGGATACTAAGTTATATTAAGTTACCTTACCGGGAGGTATTTTGCAAACAGTGGCAGGATGCCATCCATAGCGCTGGTTGCAGTTTGGAGATTGTACAAATATTGATGAGTCACTGAGGCATTCTGCAAACACCTCGCCTGGAATAACAAACATTGTAATTTAGATCTTAAAACCATTATGAAAAAGTGTTATAAGTGTTAAACATACTTTGTGTTCTTCCAATCTATGTTCTACATCTATGCTAAATTTCAGCAAGATCCATTAAGTTGTTCTGGAAATATCTTTTAACAATCCATCCTTCTATTAAAGTAATTAACTATGATTAAATTTGAGAGTTTTATCCCATACAGTTAAATGTCTAACCTCCAATGTAATACAGCCTGACTCCTTTGCCGATGTGCCGTCGCGTTTGCTCCACAACTTCGTTTCTATTCACATTCGATAGCAGACCCAAGCAGAACCTGTAATACATTTATAAGCTATATAATATATAGAAATAGATTTAAAAAAAATAAAAAATTGTAGCTCCATCCCTAAATTTAAAATTAAAGAGAGCAGACAAATTTAGTTAAAACAAAAGATAACGAAGCAGCAACTGTTGTAAAGTACATTTTTAGAATGACCCGATTTATTAAAGTTAAAATTGTTTCTTGTATAGTCTACAGAAATCGATTTGTTAGTAGAAATGGTTAATTGGACCAGACCTTTTTTAAGAGAAATGATGGGGTGTAGTGTTTGATTTTAAACTCCATTTTGCCAATATGCTAAACTATCTGTTGCCTGTGACTTTGCCCATGCTGAATTTGATATTTTCTATTAATAAATATAACCTAAATCACTCAGTAATAATGTACTTTTCTAATGGTAGAAGATTTTTTGAAATCGGTCCAACAGTTTTTGAATTTGTTTGTTACATACAAAAATAGTAATCATTCCTCTTTTATAATATTAGTATAGAATTACCTCTCACTATTGCTGGGGTCAGTAAAGCCATCCACAGTGATAGACGGCTGCGAGGCATGGAAGGTCTCCCCCACGCGTGTGTTCAGCTCGTAGTAGCTGATGCTGCACCAGAAGGCAGGCTCGTGGTACAGCACTGGTGCAGCCTCGGTGGCTAGACCCGGAGGTGATGGTGTCAGTCGAGTTAGACCTTCAGTACATAAGTTTTGTTACAGAATTTTTTGGAACACAATCTTACTAATATTATAAATGCCAATATTTAGATGGATGGATGGATGTGTGTTTGAACATATCTCCATAATGGTTGCATGGATCTTTATGAAATTTGGCTTCGATGTAAAACATAGCCTGGAGGAACATAATGGCTACTAATTAAGTTATTATTTAATTCTGTGCATAGGGAGTCGTGGGCAACAGCTAGTATGCAATAATAAATACGTATTACTCTACGTATATTCGTAATTGAGCATTTGACAGACCATTGAAATAAAATTGATACTTGTATCAAATGATTTAAGTAATGAATATTAAGTTAGCGAGTTTGAGATAAAAATTTGAATAATATAAATAATAAATTGTTGATTACAAACTCACTCATGTTGTCATTATGGTCCATGGGATCGCCGTCCTCACTCATGTAGCCCGGCGGCGGAGTCTCCACTGTTGATGAACTCCTATACAAATATCACCATATTAATATTGAAAAATAGAAATTAGGTCCAACTGCCAAAACATTCAAACAAAAAAATAATTTCCATTCCTCTCATTCCCAATATAACTGGTATACAAGAATGTTTATAAGTGTCTCTGAGGTGGACACTCTAGTTAGTACTGTTAGGAAGAAAATCCGACACAGTGACGGTGTACTGGCGCAACACTAGCCTTATTAAAATGTCAACGTTTATGTCCCCTCACTGACACTTGACTTCGTAATAATGTCTAAAAGTACATATGAAGTATATGTAGCATAACACTACTCACACGTGTACGGTTGTGTTGCCTGGCACTTGCTGAGCGAGAGTGGCCTCCAGGTAGAGGGCGCTGTGCGCGCCGACGCCCACCACGCCGCCGCTCTGCATCACGCCCAGCGACAAACTACGCAATTAATTTTAAGATTATGATTATTTTTTTATACCTGTATCATATGACAGTAGTGCTCAAAATCAGTGCCTTGCATAATATAAACACTAGTTGGCTTGTAAGCTCATATAATTCCAGGCCAGCACTACTGTCCTACTGTACTGACATAATGTATACCAGGCATTAAGTTCAAGAAGATCACTGTTTCACCTGTAGCTTTTCCCATAAATTTTTAAACAATATTTTTGACACAAGCAAACATTCAAACCAGTAATCTAAACTAAATTTAAAGTAACATATATCTAAAAAGACTGATTGTAGTTATGTCTTACGCGTCGGTGTGGTCGTGATGCGGCTGGAGATAGTCTGTGTAGGGCGGCGGCGCGCGGATCTCTCCCTCCGCACAGCGAGGCACCAAGATAGGCGGCAGAGCTGGAAATTCCAATAATATTTAATACCACCTCTTACTAAGTCAGCGTTGTTGACTAAGACCGATTCACCATTAACTTAAAGTAAGCTTCATCTAGACTTGTCATGAAAAATTATATTGTGCTCTATCAAGCTTAGCACAGTATGTGTAAGATAATTTTAGCAATAATATTTATGTCTTAGTTGTTCTGACTTTGTGTGTGTGCGGAATTAAAAAAAGAAATTAGTAATAAATATAGCCTATAGCAACCTTTTCTTAACAGTAAAAGAATTCTTTAAATCGGTTTAGTAATTTAAAAGTGTATACAATGCAAAAAGAGAAATCTTTCCTGTTTATCAAATTAGTATAGAAGGTTATTCTTACCGGGCGAATCAATCTTGTTGTAGTGATAAGGGTTGACACACACTTCGTCCTTTTTTAATTGGTATGCATAAATGCAATGGTCGACTGGCTTCAATTCATGCTGGCTCTGGGAACAAGAACTTATTCCTCAATACATGTTTTGTCTAAACAGTATATAACTTGCATTGAAGATTTACATATAATATTAACTGTGAAAAATTCTAACACATTTTCACTAAAAATATTTGATAGAAAAAATGTTTAGTGCAAAAACATTAATATTCTGTGTTCAATGACATTTATATAAATTGAGTTAAACAAAAATGGATAAGATAAACACAAAGACAACCTTGGAATATTTATAGGAAATACTTGAATCAAGTTATCCAATATACCAAGTTTTTGGCTACACCATCTATCACATTGTCCGTACCACATCATCAAACATAACCAAAAATACTAAAATTGTTCATGTAGGTCTTGGACGCCATATTCAAAGTTTAATATTAAACAATATAACTTAAAATGGTTTTTAGTGTACTAACTTGTAGCTGCGGCCAGCGCCACAGCCTGCAGTAGATGACATGCGGCAACCCTTTTCTATATTGACCGTTCACAATGTTATCACTGGGCTTCGCTCTGTAAAAAAACATCTATTAAGAAAATTGCGAAACAAAGATACTGAAAGTACTGACTTATGTTTATGAATTGTTGCTAAAATTATATTATAAATAAATCTAGATAAGTGAGAAATGCCTTTAAATGAGTGTCCTTGTCCAATCCCGGCAAGTAACCTCCACAAGCACAATACTTGGGATAGAAGCCACAATAAGTGAGAAAAATATTGTGGTCTACCATATATGTAAGGATTGTATTGTTAATTTTGTGTTTTAACTTCGCAGTAGTATCATCGAATCATGCTACGGTAAAAGATTTTATGGTATTGTTTGTTGCAAACCTTATCTAAGAAAACATACAATATTTTTAAGATGACTTCAGTAATACATAACACACTATTTTCACAGACACATTATTGACAGGTGTTAACCCGGAAAAGAAGCTAGGTAGGTTTTAAGTTAACATTTTAAATAGAAACAACTGAGTAAGTAGTCTATTATAATGTCAGTGTAGAATTAGTTCACTTTAAGATATACACACAATAAGATCAAAACATTTCTCAATACAACACTCCATCACTGAACTAAAAGCAAGAAACCACAGTTTCAAACTAGTAATAATTTCCCTATTAATATAGTTGTTAAAATATTAACACTTTACAAACAATTGAATGACGAAAATACGTGCAATTGTAAAAATCTTTAAACAAATGATTTGTTTGATTAGACTACATATTGCTGTTTGAAGTAATATTCTAATAAGAAATGATAATGAAAACACAAGGTCAATAACCAAACTAACAATTACGATTTTAATAACCAAATAAGAAACTAATAAGAAAAAATAATAGCAATATTAAACGTTTCCATGCGATAAATTTCCTTTCGTAATTGCGAATGAGTATTTAAAATCCATACAAATATAATGCTTTAGAAAATATTACCTGAGTAATAGACGAAAACGAGTAACTTTAGAATGTGAAATATAATCAATGAAGTAAAATATATCTTCAAGTATTAATCTTGCATATTTTATCGGAAATTGACTATTATTTCGTGCGGAAACTAAAAAAGTAGAGGTCCGAAATTCGCCGCCATATTGATAAAAAAGCTTCGATTGTTTTGACGGCGATTTGACCTTCCTTTTTGGATTTTGCGTCCTGTCTATGGTTATGTAACTAAAATATGATGGTCATTGCATTCTACGGGGTCAATGTGCTTTTGCTACTTTGCTTTTTGGCAAGGTTATATTCTACGAAAGACCAGTAATACAGAGTACTTAATTAATAATAAAGCTTCTTTTAAACGCGAATTACATACGGAAAGGCGTATAAGGATGCCTAATAATAACTTATTGTTCATAAATATAGTTCGAACGAATATTTCTAACCAAAATTATGGATGGATGGATGGATAACATTGCTTTAAGATCCATTATTTCATGTTATGTTTTAGAGCAATTAATGATTTTGGAATACTCACATCCTAACTGTTTATAATTCCTGTGACTATTGCTGAAACTCAACTGGGTAAGAGTAATAATAAATGAAATTTCCGGGTGTGAACAAAAAAACAACAAACATAAAGAAAAAATAACTAGATTAGAATGGGGAGGGGGAATTTAAGCAATCAAGGTCATTGTTAGACGTACCAAAACTCTTGTTATCAAAATAAAAATAAAGCATAAAGCAATCAATAAATAACCTGGGAATTGTGACGCATTTAGTATGACTACTTTGACTAGTTATAGCCTTTTCTAACTCCTCGAGAGCCTCACTTTTCTTTAATTTCTTAACTAAACTTTTTACAGCCTTTTCTGACCATTTATCTTCTGCAGCAGACGATCCTTCGGGACCTTTTTTCCACTCTAGAAGTCGTTTCACTACTGGCGGCGTTCGCGGAAACATTCCGCCAAATTTCACTTTTTAAGTCATTCAAGGAAACGAATTTACATTAGATTAACAAACAATGCACACTTTTTATTTAAGTCTATGTACTATATTTAAATTAACTTATCGGCCATTACAATTACAATTTGCGAATGTGATTAACAAAATATCAGTATCAGAATAGATAGGAAAATGACAGCAAAGTTGCCAATCACAATCATTAAAACTTCCATCAATTTTCTTGAAACATTTCCTGTACAAATAAAACAAAGATTCAATTTTAAATCAGTATTGTGTCGTACTTCTTTTGCTTTAAAACTTAAGATTAATTTTCCGAAATATAACAAATAATTACGGGTTATATTGTTAATTTATCTGTCAGATTTTATTTTTAGGAATAAAAAGATCCTTCATTTAACATTATTTTAAAAGTGTATCAATTCGTAAAATTACATTTTCTCGTGTGCAAACAAAACGATACACATTTCTTTACAGAACTAGAAAATTACTTAACTTGGTGATTATTAGTAGCCAAAAATGAAATAAATGGTTGTTTGTAGTGCTTCCGGTGTTTCCCGTTTTCAATAGCAACAATTGTTGTCTATGGTAAACATTGGTTGGTGTTTACAGCATAGGCAATTTTACCCAATCTTAAGAAATAAATGAAGGAAACAATTTAAAAGTTTTTGTTAAATCACAAAATAAAAAACCTGGATATTTTTAGACTAACGATATCTAATTCACAGGTAATATACTTCGTAAATGAAAAATGAAAAATTACAGATGAAAGAAGTCCAATCCATTGTGTTATAGTTATGGTAATAAAAATAATCATTTGATTGACACTCCTAATTTTCTGAACATTTACAGAACAGTTACCCCGAATAAAAGGTCTAGGCGTAAGCGGAAATGGAGTATGGGCAGGGCATTTTGATAAAAATTTGGGAAATAAATAATTAGGAACATTTCATTTTGTATATGGTAACTCTGTCTTTATTTTGAAATTGAAATGCCATCCGGTTTAGTTTGTTTTGTTTCATTTGTTAATTTTTGATGTGCCAGTTGCTGATAATTCATTTGCTATATTAAGGCAATATATCGTTTGGTTAGTATTTCAATTACGTCTATATAATAGCATAATTACCCTGATCTTTAATATGTATTCCGACTGGTTACTGTTACTGGCCATCATTGTTATTGTAGTGGCCTGTCACAAAATTATATTTTAATTTTCCCGCTTTGACTTTTATAGCTTGGCTGGAAAACACAACTTCGTAAATTTTAAATTTAAGATCAATTAGTTTTTTTCTTAATTAATTTCATTTCTTTTTATTGACCATACGAGGATATATTTTTACTTTTAATTTTTTTATTTCATAAAATAATCTTCATGATGAAATATTTACATTGGCATTTTATAATAACAATGTCCAATGTCCTGAAATTTATAATCAAAACTCTAGTTATGGATTATTATTTCTTGAAACACTTATCTATAAAAATTATCACTGTGGGTCTTCACTAAGCCTTTTAGCTGAAACTTTCAATGGTTTTTGCAGTTATATCATGACAAGATTCCTTTTTAACTTGGACTACAGTGTCCTTGCTTGTGGAGCAACCTCCAGCTCTCTTCCCCCTTGACACTACATCTACTAGCTCATTCACTTGTTGCATATTTATATTATTGGTTGTGGTTGGTTGGTCTTCTCCGATTTCTTTTCCCTTCTAATTTTCGTTTTGTTATTATGGTTATATACTTGTGTATTCTCTTTTATCAATATTAATGATAATGTTAAATATTGAAAAATCAATATGTTTTAAAATATTGTTTATATATTGTAAGTTTTCATGCTACAAAAGTCAGTGACTGCCTCATGACCATTTGAAAGTTGTATCAACTCAAAAGTTATCTAGTTCATTATAATGTAATTTAGCTATTTTTAGGGTTCCATACCTCTTTAGAATCACTTTGTTGTCCGGCCGTCTGTCACTCAAGACCCTTTTTTTTTAGAATATTAAAAGTTACTGAAAATCTTGTTAATATGTATAATAGATGCATACTTCCAGTGTGTTTTATTTGTTAATAAAGCCATTACCACTACACTTGATCTATTTTTGGAGTGGAAGGTTAAAAAATTTTTATGAGATAATTGCAAATAAATATACAAACTTCATTAGTATGATAGGCATAAATTTTACACAAAAAGATAATTAACTTTTCAGCTGTCCTAAGCATGGAACCTCAGCTTCCACCGTTAATACTTTGTATGGAGAATATGAACGGAGAAGAAGTATCACTTAGTATCGGACCCAATGATGATTTTCAAACATTCCTGGATAAAGCCAAGTACCTTTCCATTATTCCATACCCTTTTATCCATTCCTATAGAAATACCTAAACTTAACATATCATCTTGGATGTACTGATACTAGAAATATGCTAAGATATACATTACTAGTGGTCGCCCGCGACTCCGTCCGCGCGAAATTAAATAAAAATGTTATTAGAACTCTATGTGTTCTTACAGAATATATTTTATATGTATGCCAAATTTTATTAAAATCTATTCAGCAATGCTGGAGTTACATTCATACAAATATCCATTCATCTAAACATTCGCATTTATAACATGCAAGATAATAAAAAAATAAAATGAACCAAAGTGTTTTTTTTTCCGTTGAGTAAGCTTTTTATTACAGTATGTAGTATTTTTCTATTTCAGATCTACTCTAGGTTTCGATGTGGATATCAACTCGATTACTGGCGACCAAACTGTATCATTAAATGAAAACATTTATCATTACCTTCTAAATTCGGAATTAAATTATCAAACTGATCCACAATTAGGTAATGAAAATTTCCAACATACACCAGAAGAGGGTACACATAGCCCTGATGGGTTTGTGTACGTTTTAGACGACGGCACACAGATACGAGCATCGCAAATACATTTTGATAACGATGATCCCCCTGTAGATCTCACAGCTGAACAAATACCATTCGTAAAATACGCCAATGATAGTACGGATGAAAACGAAGTTGAAGATCAAAGTATTGAAAATACTAAAAAAATAAACATAGTCGAAAGTCCTGTTAAACGTTGGGAAAGTAGAAATTCCAGTCCTAGATGTAGTTTTGTGAACAGTTTACCCTTCAAACTTGTCTGTTCCAACACCTCCAACTTTGAAGCTCAATTTACAAAATACTTAGAAACGAGTACTACGAAAACATTTACTACTTTGAATACTGTTGCCAATAGAAATAAGTCCCCTAAAAGTTTGATAAGTGAAAATTATAAAAATTACGATGAAAATTATCAACCTCAACGTAACAAAGATGATTTCGCAAGTTATACAAGAGAAGAAATTCTCAATATGTTTAAAGATTCCCCTGTCGCATCCTTGCCTTACGAAGAGAATCAGAATCACAACGAAAAAAGACGTCATGTACGTAAAACTGACCCATCTCGACTTCATAAAAATTGGAATAACCGACCTTACGTAGATGTAAAACCTGGAGAGAAAGGAAGGCAAAACTGTTTCATTTGTGGTAAAATCGATAACAACGTAGAAAAATTGTACCTATTTGATAATGAAGATCAAAAGCTACATAGATGTACATCGCCCAGAAATTATCCGACTCAACTTAAAATAATATGCGATCATTGTTTGGCTGAAAATTTTAAACCGAGTCGTATGAAAAGTCCAACGCAATCTCTTAATTCCGATGAGTTCTTGGTTATTAAAAATAACCAGCAATTTATATTTCAAAAGGTTATTGATTTTAAATTGGCCCCTGAAGCTGTAGATAAACGGGATCAAAACCATCTAGAAGATTCTCAAGAGAATGAGAAACTTGAATTTGTGAAAGTGGAAATAGGTTCCGATGGAGAAATTGTAACTAAATGTATTGATAATGATACTAGATCATCAGATGATGTTATTATTGTGAAAGACGAGAAAAAGGATAGTTCTAGTGATGTTGAAATAATAGAAAATGAACCTGATATCGATGATCATATTATAGATAATTTGGAAGAAGCCGATGATGATTTCAAAGAATTTTTGGGGAAATATCATTGCGATGATGATACTGAGATTAAGGAATTGAAATGCAGGTTCGTTATGACTCTTTACAAAATAAACTTTGGAGTCAAAGGTCACGTAATCAATGAAATATAGTAAGATTTTTATAAGTAACTCTTATCGATGATTCCATAGAACATCGATTCGTAAATCGATTATGTCAAATTTACAGGTTCTGTGACAGCATCTTTGAAGAAATAAGTCATGTAATAGATCATGGCGAGGAGCACAAACATAACTTAGACGATGGAGAAGTATTTCCTTGTCCTTTGTGTGACTATGGTATATATTATATTCTTATGTAAATAGTTAAATGCTAGGATGTAAGGGAATTTATTTTCCTGACCACATTGAATTGTCTTTGACTATAAGTAATCGATAGAAATTCAATAAAACCTAAGGCTTTTAGGATAACATGAAGTATGGCAATCAAGTTTATTTTCTGTAAATACGTTACGTAACGTATTTTTAGCATTTTCAATTCCTTTTTCTAGGTTATTCTAATTTTAAATGGTTAAAAGGACATCTCAAAGCAGCTCATGACAAGACAAAGATTACTGAAATAAAAAATGAAGATGATAACGATGAAGACAGAAGTGAGTTGCTTACAAAATTAGTCATCTAGTGATAAGACTAACAAAAAAAGGTACTGAAAGTAAAAAGTAATTAAGTTAGAAGAGCCAAGTTCCTTATGGTTATTTGGGAACATCGGCCTATTTAGTCGCATTGGCATCGCCTCACCCCCATCCCTACCCAAGGGAAAAATGTAAAGTCGATATAAAAACTACGTCGAATAAGACCATATTCATGTTAGCTGACCCCCCACCCTCTTCCCTTTGACGTAGATTGTGTGTAGCTCTGATTTATATGTCTGTCAGACAATATAAAACTCTTTACAATACAGATGGGGGTAAAACTTCTCCATCTTCATCACCTGTCGCCAAGAGAACTAGAAGTGCAATTAAAAAGGTCGAAACGGAAACAGAAAAAGGTCTGGATTTTATGGATTATTCCAATATTAGTAATAACGTTAATTTTAAACACATATTGTCTTTTTTTCTAACCGTTGGTTTCTGAGACCTTCTTTATAAAATATACCGTTGTCCCTGTCTTCATCTTTGACAAAACAGAGGTAGCGTTATGTTTTAAACGGCGATTTTGGTTCAGA